CCCCAAAACCCCAAAACCCCATGGGATTAAATGTGAGATAATTAGGGAATTTAAGAAATTAAGATTAATAAGAACGTTATCATAGCTATTTTTGCTCATGATCTTAAGTTATATTAAGTCTAAACTTTTAGTGTCTGCCAGTTAAGGGTGACATTACCATACTATTTCTATTCCTTTCACCTCTTTCCCCAGTTGGTGTGACACCTTTTGCCCATCCATTTAACCTACTATTAGGATTATTTATAGTTGTCATCATCAACTTGCTAGTAGGATTTACGTCATTTCTCATCCCGATGTTTCTTTTGTTTAATTTTTCAATATTTGAAACATCAATAGATCTATTTAATCCCTTATCTCTCTTAATGTTCATTTCAGTTTTATTGAAGTTTGAACTCTAGGAATTTTGAGTTAAAAATACATTCTTGAGTATTTAACTTGGCTCTCTGGTATGCTTGAAAACAGATACCTCCGGAGAAGCTATTGATCTCTAAGTCTCATTTACATTGCTGTTTGTGTTAGTTTGATTAGTATATAGAATCTCCCCACCTTTATTCTGATTTAACTCATCATCATAGAACTCTTTAGCTGATCTCAAAATAGATTCCTTAGTGTGATCCATCTTTCTAAGTCTAGTCATCTCCCGCAGATAAGAATTTATTTCCTCATTTTTATTTTGAATCTCGAAAATGGATTATGCTAAAACATTGAATGAGATTTTTCGTAACTTACTTCTTAAGGCATTCATTTCTTTCTTGAATTGATTGATATCCTACTTAGCCATTTCTTCCCAGCTCTCTAGTTCTGCTAAATGCTTTTTAAGATATTTAATATCTGTATTTGTTTTAATCTTGAACTGCTCTATATAATTATCAATTACATCCCTTATCAACTTCTTAGCTTAAGAATTCAAATAGTCCACTGTGAATCTCTGTTCAAACTCAGTAAATTTATCCTTGAGATCCTTCTAGTCATCTTTAATTCCCTCAATTCTCTCATATTATGTTCTCACTCTCTTAGTCAAATCATTGATAACATCTTTTTAATCATTCACCATATTTGTCAGTTCATATTTCAAATCTTAAGCTAGTCTCTTTTAATCCTTGTAGAGCCATTCAATTTTACTATCATTTGACTAATCAGATTTTGAATTAATCATTAAGAATTACCATTCTAACTTCAATGATTTTTTAGCGAACGATGTTAATTTACTCATCAAATTTCTTCTACATCACTAGCAGCTCTTTTCTATCTATTCCGCCTCTATTCATTGTCTACTGCTTTCTAAGAGAATTAGCCTTCTGAAAATTATCATCTTGCAAGGAATTTCTTTTCTTCTCTACTATAATTAAAAAATAATTTAGACTTACTTATAGCATCTGGATCAGCTAATACCTCTCCTTTCTCTCCAGAAAAGGATCCACTTCTTTTAATCTTTTGAATATCGAATTATATTTTATCTTGCTTATATTCTTCCTTGAAGAGTTCTAGTTGATTTTTCAAAGTATTGTTCTTAACTTCTAACTTTGTCAACTAGTCATTTTAAGTTTATTGTTTATTCATTATATTTTCAAGTCTCTGATACATGTTTGTTATATTGTTTGATATTTTTCCTTAATCATTGTCAAGTTTTTCAATGTTATCTTTAATCTTGTCTTCAGCTAACTCAAGACTGATCTTGACACTCTGCAACTCTGTTTGCAAAGCATACTTTTTCTAATTTTGTTTCAGTTCATCAATCAAATCTTAGGTATCTATGAATTACTACTCAAATTTCATAAGTTTAGAAGCAACACCAGCAGCGCCTGCATTATCTAGAGAAACCGTCATTACACTATTAAGGTTTCGTTTGTTGTAAGCCCAAAAGATGTCTGCATCAAGTTTACGCTCCATTAATTTTTAGAGTTCTCTCTTGTCAACTTTTGTCATTTCTATTTCAAACATAAAGTCTCGTAGTCTCATTTGTACCTACTCTCTAATTATGTTTTCCATATTATCTTCTATTTCTTTGAGTTTAGATTGATTAACTCAATGCTTTTCTACTAATTCTCATACATTCACCTCTGTCATTTTTTATGAGACACACACGTCTGAATATACATACTCAGTCAATCGTTTTAGCTGTAATCTTTCAAATTAAATAAAAATCCTACCTGTACTTGAAATTAATCAAAGTTAGCACAAATTTTTGAGAGTTTATTTATAAAGATGGTATTCTCTGTGTCAAAAAATTCTCTTTCTCCCAATACGTTTTTCTTTATTTTATCCATTATTAGCTCAAAATATGAAAAACTAAATATAATATTTTTTATTTTTTATTTTGATTCAGGATACTTGGAATATTGAGTCTTAATGTTAATCTATGGGGTTTTGGGGTTTTGGGGTTTTGGGG